AACTAATGTAGAACTTTGGGAGAGAACTAACCAGGCTCTAGTGGACCAAGAGGTGAGGAAAAGACGCTGGCGGATAGGACACACACTGAGAAAAGGGGAGAACAGCATAACTAGAATACATTGGAACCCACAGGGGCATAGGAATAAAGGAAGGCCAAAAAACATATGGAGAAGAGAGCTGGAGAATGAAGTTAGAAAGATGGGGAGGACATGGGGAGAGCTCCATGCATTGGCGAAGGATAGAACGACTTGGCGTGAGTTGGTTGAGGGCCTATGCTCCATTGGGGAATAGAAAGGCAGAAGAAGAAGAAGAAGGATTACATGTACATAAATTGTATTTGTGTGTTTCGTGTAAAATTTTTGTAACATGTTTGAATAAAATAGAACTTAAAAATACAAATTTATGATTTATGACCTGTTAGTTGGAATGGAACTTGGTCACAAGTCGAGGAGACCATGTACTGTTGCTATGGCTCTAAGGGTTCCCCCATCTCTTTATTTCAGTGTAAAAAAACTGTAAGTCACAACCTACCAGTGAATAAAGAGGTTTGAGTAGAGAAGACACTCTCCATCAAAGTCTGACGTGACGGTTCCCAAAGGCATGAAAACCATAAAAGACTGGATGGCTGTAACCACACAGAGAGCACCTTGAACCACTTTCAGCTTCTTAATTGCCTTTTGCTTCAGTCTGTACATGCAGTGAACACCTGACTATAAAAATGGCGGGGAGTAGAAAGAATATCAACAAATGAGGTTAAAAGAATGTTATGTATTAAAAAGGACAGGAAATGAATTAAATGACTGACATCCTCTTCCTGGTGTTCAGAGTGCAAAACTCTGACTGTAAGTTCTGGTCGTATATCCACTTCTGGACTTTAGTTTTTGTTCTAGAACATGTCTTGCATGCATATCTGTTTTAAAGATCTGCATTATTTGTATACAGACTGTTGGTTCTTTGCCTCTCAGGCAGATGAAATTCAACTTCGAAGAAAACATCCTTAATGAGTCCAATTTTACCACACGTTTGCTGTGGTGAACTGTGGGAAGGGGGGTGGGTATTCTTTTCCATCCAAAATGTGGCCACGGAACCCATACAGGGAAACAACTAAAAGAACTATTAAATTCAATGCATGCAGAACAATCCAACTGTGAGTTATCTCTTCTTTCAGGCCACACTTCCAAGGATCTGAACTACAGTCACTTGTGAAGTTTCCAGCACACACAAACACTATAAAACAATTATGTGCTATCTCCACAATAAAAGTTAGCTACAGTAAATCCAGTGCTATCTGTAAAAATATTTTGTGGCGAGGCCCCAACTTGTTCTACTGTATGCCCCTAGTACTTCTTCTTCTTCACTTCCTCTTTTACCGCAGTGGGTGTTGAGGGAGATATAATTGGTTCTGTGCCGACTTTTTCTCTTATGATCTCATTCCTGATCTTATCTCTTATGGTCACTCCTACAGCCCTTCTCAGACATCTCATTTCCATGGTTACTAATTTTCTTTTATGGTTTGTTGTGAGTGACCATGTCTGGCACTGGTAGCACAGAGTTGGAATAAATATGCTTTGAATAAGATGTCTCTTTGTGCTGATTGGGATTGTCTTATGCTGTAAGAGGGAGATAGCTGTCCCAATACTTGGTTTGCTTTACTGCATCTAATGTTAATTTCTTTATCCAATTTCTCATCTTCAGTAAATGTAGTTCCCAGATATTTAAACTCAGTTGCCTGTATAATGCCTTTGCCCTCTATTGCTATGTTTAGATCTGTCTTCGCCCCTAGTACTACCGTCAGAAAACCAAGAGTTTCTTTTTTTTAAAAACTATTTATTGAACACTGATGAGAGAAGCATGATATGAAACAACTGCACACAATAGTAGGGAGTGAAGAGGCTGAGTTGAGTCAAAATCTGAAATCACAGCACACTGGGCATTCCCATAGGCGTCCCACCCCCATCCTCAGCAGCCAGCGAAGAGTTCCAATACCAATGGTACCAGTAGGAGTCTGATTATTTGTCCGTCTTGCCTTTCTTCTGAGCGTCAAGTACCGGCCAGATCCCCTGGTCACACCTCGCTGCATCACTCTCACCAGACTGTGATGATTCATTTGCTTCTTCAAATTGTACACATGCTCTCACAAGGCCTTAACCATGCCTGCCTTATCATGCATCAGTGTTCCAGCCAGCTGTGCAAAGGCAGATAATCTGTCTGTCTGTTCACTTCCCAACACGCCTGCATGACATGAAGAAAACATCCAGACACTGCTCTTCACCCATGACCTCTGAAGCAAAACTCGCTACTTTGCTTGAAGCATGCTTGTCCTCACCTTTCTCAGCATGCTTTCGGAGTCAGTTCAATCATGATGTGTGTGTGTGAGAATAAACTGTTAAGACTCCGTCAGCTCAAATAGTACGTAAAGTTATACATCATATAACTTCACATACTGGTTGAGCTGACAGATTTGTAAAGTAAACATGTAAAGGCTCCTGGTGCATCAGGTATATGGTGCTATACCAAACTGTTATAGATCAATCAACAGTCAATGGGTGATGTTGTCAATATCATGCTGGCTGCCTTTACTTCCCAAAACATATCATGGTTAACAGTTTTGAAGTCGAAAAAAAGTCCCATATGGGTTCCAGGGTGCTACTGTGGGGAAAACAAGAACAGAACCATTGCCTCCCTAATAATCATATCATAGAAGTCGACTAGTTGGGGGCTTCCTTCGAAGTTGGTGTACATCTGCCTGAGAGGCAAGGAACCAAGAGTCTGCTTACAAATAAGCCAGATGTGTAAAACAGATGTACACACAACACCCAGGTTATGGGACAAGATTAAAATCAAGCAGATGAACACTCAAAACTTTCTGCCGGAATTTACAGCTGGTGAACAAGAAGAAGACAGTAGAAAATAGAACATACCTGGTCTCTACAGCTGCAGTCAAATGTACACAGCCTGGAGAGATACTGCCATACCTGGAACACACACGTTGCACACCATACAGCCGCTATCCTTTTCTTGGCATTAAATCTCCGTGGTTTGCGATTGCTGAACAATAAGGCAGTGTCGCTGTCAAATGGAGTGTGAATGTTGCTCTCCTGCCGGTGGAAGTCCTGAAATCCAGCATTGCTGCAAGAGCTCAGGCTGCCATCTTCACTGAAGATGAACACGCTCTCCTGCTGGCGGTACTTTGTGTGTCTTGGAGTCAGCAACGGGGAAGAAGCCATACCACTCCACTCAGCATCGTTAATAATAAATAAGGCAGAATCATCTGACTGGTTCATGATTTCCATTGGTATTTCATCCTGTTCTTCAATCACTCCTCTCCCTCTCCCTCCTTCATAGCTGTGTCTTCTGTCCATCTAGTAGCTCTGTAATGGAGCTGATATTGGACAACTCATTTCTGAAATAGTACATTTTATATGATTATTATTGGCAAGTAGACATAGACAACATAAGCTTACATCATGTTAAAAGAGATCCATTATGAATATCAGAAAACCCCTGTGTGGGTTCCGGGGCCCCATTGTGGGAAAAACAAGAATAGACCCACTGCCTCCCCAAAAGCATGTCGTAAGAGTCGACTAATTGGGGCGCTTCCTTTGAAGTCGGAGTGCATCTGCTGGAGAGGCAAGGAACCAACAGTCTGTATTCAAGAGAATGGGATTTGTAAAACTGATGCACACGCAACACTCAGGTTCTGGAGCAGGACTGCAGTTCAGTAGTGGACGAGCAACCAGAACCTTCTGCCAGAGTTTACAGCTGGTGAACGCGAAGAAGAAGAAGAAGAAGAAGAAGAAAAATATCAGAAACATTCAGAAACATAATAAATACTATTTACTAAGTTGCCAAAAAATATCAACTTAAAAACAGTCCCTGCAATGAATACATGACCCTCTGCTGTAACAAGCTCAGGATAACATAATATGCTGGAGATAGACAGCTCTAGACTACTACAGACATGATTGATAGACAACTCTAGACTACTACAGACATGATTGATAGACAACTCTAGACTACTACAGACATGATTGATAGACAACTCTAGACTACTACAGACATGATTGATAGACAACTCTAGACTACTACAGACATGATTGATAGACAGCTCTAGACTACTACAGACATGATTGATAGACAACTCTAGACTACTACAGACATGATTGATAGACAGCTCTAGACTACTATAGACATGATTGATAGACAACTCTAGACTACTACAGACATGATTGATAGACAGCTCTAGACTACTACAGACATGATTGATAGACAGCTCTAGACTACTACAGACATGATTGATAGACAGCTCTAGACTACTACAGACATGATTGATAGACAGCTCTAGACTACTACAGACATGATTGATAGACAGCTCTAGACTACTACAGACATGATTGATAGACAGCTCTAGACTACTACAGACATGATTAATAGACAACTATAGACTACTACAGACATGATTAATAGACAACTCTAGACTACTACAGACATGATTGATAGACAGCTCTAGACTACTACAGACATGATTGATAGACAGCTCTAGACTACTACAGACATGATTAATAGACAACTCTAGACTACTACAGACATGATAGATAGACAACTCTAGACTACTACAGACATGATAGATAGACAACTCTAGACTACTACAGACATGATTGATAGACAACTCTAGACTACTACAGACACGATTGATAGACAGCTCTAGACTACTACAGACATGATTGATAGACAGCTCTAGACTACTACAGACATGATTAATAGACAACTATAGACTACTACAGACATGATTGATAGACAACTCTAGACTACTACAGACATGATTGATAGACAGCTCTAGACTACTACAGACATGATTAATAGACAACTCTAGACTACTACAGACATGATTAATAGACAACTATAGACTACTACAGACATGATTGATAGACAACTATAGACTACTACAGACATGATTGATAGACAGCTCTAGACTACTACAGACATGATTGATAGACAACTATAGACTACTACAGGCATGATTGATAGACAACTCTAGACTACTACAGACATGATTGATAGACAGCTCTAGACTACTACAGACATGATTGATAGACAGCTCTAGACTACTACAGGCATGATTGATAGACAGCTCTAGACTACTACAGACATGACTGATAGACAGCTCTAGACTACTACAGACATGATTAATAGACAGCTCTAGACTACTACAGGCATGATTGATAGACAGCTCTAGACTACTACAGACATGATTGATAGACAACTCTAGACTACTACAGACATGATTGATAGACAGCTCTAGACTACTACAGACATGATTGATAGTGTAATGAAATATAGGCAGAAAGGGGTTAAATGAACAAAGCATAAACTTCAGACCACCACACGGCGTACTAATCCATCACTGTGTGAAATGACAGAAATGGGTGATTAGAAAACCATGGCCTAGCCAACTATGCAGAACATCTTCATGATAACCACCATGACATCTGACAGTGAGGGATGAAACATTCGACAAGTGCCCGTGAGCTGTGACCAGCTGAAGAGATACGTTCATCCAAACGTGACCACCAAAGACAGGTGACAGGGGCGTGATTGAGAAGGTACGCCAGAAAGAGCGGGAAAGCGGGAGAATAAAGTTAGCCCCGAAACCGCTTGAGAGGTTAGTTAGCCCCGGAACCGCTGGAGAGGACAGTTAGGACCGGACTGCTCGAGAGACCAGTTAAGAAAACTAGTGCTGTACTTCGTTAGAAAGTATATGTTAAACTTGGAGTTTAGCCAGAACAGTGGTTAAGGAACTCGTAGAGGCATACGAATAGCCAGTAATAAGGAGTGTTCATATACTATTGCTTATTGAATTTATGAAATGTGTGTGACGAGAATATTATGAATAAACCAGCTCTTATGTAATTGATTAAATCACTGGCCTTGTTCTTGAGTACGATTGAAGAGAGATACGAACTATATTTATTCACCCTTGGCCGAACTAGACACATCTATTGCTTGGGGGATGTATAGGCACGACTGTGCCACAATAGACAGCTCTAGACTACTACAGACATGATTGATAGACAGCTCTAGACTACTACAGACATGATTGATAGACAGCTCTAGACTACTACAGACATGATTAATAGACAACTCTAGACTACTACAGACATGATTGATAGACAACTCTAGACTACTACAGTCATGATTGATAGACAGCTCTAGACTACTACAGACATGACTGATAGACAGCTCTTGACTACTACAGACATGATTGATAGACAGCTCTAGACTACTAAAGACATGATTGATAGACAGCTCTAGACTACTACAGACATGACTGATTGACAGCTCTAGACTACTACAGACATGATTGATAGACAACTCTAGACTACTACAGACATGATTGATAGACAGCTCTAGACTACTACAGACATGATTGATAGACAGCTCTAGACTACTACAGACATGATTAAACTGTTGATCACAAGAATAAAGGTCTGCATATAATATGTTAATATATATCCAAAAGTTGTTAACGTCTACAAACAATAATTGTCTACGGATTAACAGTAATCTTTTTGTGCTTCAGGTGTATTGTGAATATAGGCTAGATCTATATTTTATAGACCAGTCAGCACTCGGTGGGTGATGTGGTCAGTATCACGCTGCCTGCCTTTACTTCCCAGGTCTTCACCTGGAATTTATTTCATTCTGGGTCGACCTGGGAGCCAGGGTCATTTTTTAATAAAGTCCAACTCCATCAAGATCTGAACCCACAACTTTGTGATCGGCAGGCAAGCATCTAGACTCTAAACCATGACAGCTCCACAATATTAACTAACCAAAAGTAATTGACAAGCATAAATATCCAGTTTAAAAAAAAATTATGCATCCCAGTTAAAGCCAAACAGAGGAATTTATTTAAAAAAAATAATAATAACTGCTACCACGTATGCAATATTCTATTTAACTCTTTCAGTTCTAAAGGATTTAGCATCAGAGGCCCAGGTGGCAGTAAAGCAAGAAAAAAAATCAGTACATGGTGCATTCACTGGACTTACAGGTAAGAACCACTGAATGTATGATGCATACCATGGGAGTGAAAGAGTTAATAAATAACAGATAGCAAGTTTTAGAACAAACAGTGGACTGCTCAACATTAGTATTTGAACTGTCTTGCTTTTTCTATTCTTAACAATTGTTGAACTGCAAAAACAAATAAACTTAACTTTTCCTGGCTATGTATGTCTGTGTACAGTTTTGAATTTTTGAGTAGTTAATTTTATTTTTACTTCAACTTATTGGTATATGGCAAAAGACTATGATAGTCTAGTCACTATCATTAACTAACAACCCAACAAACTTTCACTCTTATAATACCCAAATGATTTAAAAATTAATCCTACATTACATTACACTAAAACTAAATAAACTGTACTGTCTCACAGTGTCTGCAAAAAAAAAAGTCTGTTGCGTTTCCTTTACAGGACGTTGCAGAACCAACCCTAGCATTTTTTGTGTGGTTTTTCTAGACAAATTTTACGTTTAGTAGTTTGCCACTGCTTACTGAGTGGTCAGCTCTCAGAGTACCACTGTCGAAAACAACGCAAGACAAACCGTCCGAAACAGTAAAAGATGCTTAGACTGTGCGGACAGAAAGTACATTAGGTAATGTAATAGTAATAATAGATAACTGCCAAGCCTAATACAATCATTTTTATTTTTTTATATTTTTATGACGCGCTTTCAACCCACCAGTGTTTGCTTACTTTGAGTCAAGTCGGTTCACTTTTAAAGTGACTCAAGTGACTGAATGCCAGAGTTGCAATCAAAGTTACCCCTCTACAAAACTAAAACACACGAAACAAAGTACAAGCGTTGGTATTATCGTGTCGTTTAACAAAGAAATCACTACCTATATCTGAAGCCATTTGATAAACACAGTGGGAGAGAAGAGATGCCGTAGATGCTCGGCAGACAACAGTGCTACTCCCAGTTAATTGTCGTCTGCTCATGGGGAAGCTACTGTGTTCATAGATAAGGTATTATTTCCATAGTGGTCTCCCTTATCGTTATAATGTTAGTATTAGCTTCCCACACCCGCCCACCCACACTGGACTTCAAATTATTTTGTTTTTTAGTCTGGTGATGTCCAAAATAACTGTGCTCTAAGACTATATATACGGTTTAAAGTCGAATCTGTTATTTGGATATGAGCGGTTATCATCCTTATTTTAATCCCTAAAACTGCAATCCTAGAGGAGAAAATGAGGGGGAGAAGAAAAATATATACATTTTGACTTCTTCCTATTCTTATTCTACTACTACTACTACTACTACTACTACTACTACTACTACTACTACTACTACTACTACTACTACTACTACTACTACTACTACTACTACTACTACTACTACTACTACTACTTCTTCTTCTTCTTCTACTTTTCCTCCTCCTCCTCCTCCTCCTTCTAGATAGGCTACGATTTCTGCATCTGTGGAAGCTACTGTCATAGATAACGTATTATTTCCATAGTAGTTTATCTCGCTAGTATAATATTACGTTTTATTTTCCACAACAAGACTGGAGTACAGGTCATTTCGTAGCCGTTCGAGGTGCCTCATTCAGTCGATTTGATATTCCAAAATAATAAATACAGTTAAATCTCTCACTAGCAATCATGAAACAAAAAATAACTGCATGTGAAATGCTCTATTTCCACAGGGTCATTAACAACACTAGACGAGACAAGGTTACGAATGCCAGCTTAGAGAGAAAGTTGGAATAAGACCATTCTGGATTATACTGAAAGACAAAAAAAGAAATGGTTCGGTCATTTAGTGAGAATGCAGCCAGATCAGATTACATTTGAAACTTTTTACAGTAGAACATCTGGGAGAAAGGCAAGATGAAGACCAAGAAAGAGATGGGTAAATGGTGTTTAGCAAATCCATCACTCAAGCCACTCAAGAAGCGCAAGACACAAAAAAAAACGACGACGCTAGGCCACAACCTAGTAACAGTGAAACGACAAAACCACCACACTGGGCCACAACCTAGTAACAGTGAAACGACAAAACCACCACACTGGGCTACAACCTGGTATCAGTGAGACGACAAAACCAAGACACTGGGCTACAACCTGGTATCAGTGAGACGACAACATCACGACACTGGGCTACAAATTGGTATAAGTTAAGACGACTAAACCAGGACACTGGGCTACAACCTGGTATCAGTGAGACGACAAAACCAAGACACTGGGCTACAACCTGGTATCAGTGAGATGACACCCCCCCCCCTCCCCCCCCCCCCAAAAAAAAAAATAAAGACACTTGGCTACAACCTGGTAACAGTGAGACGATAAAACCACAACACTTGGCTAGAACCTGGTCACAGTGAGACGGCAAAAGAAAAAGAAGACTAGGAATCTTAACGACGTAACTCCGTTGGTAAAGACTTAGATCTTTTTAGTACTTTCTTGATAAAGACATTGATCACAACGTTCGGTTGTTTTGTATGCGCCTTTACTATTGCTTCCGTTGAGCATACTAGTCATACATTCTTGTGTGTTTAGTATAATTTATTAAACCGCAGTTAGTCAACCCCCCCCCCCCCCCCCCCTTTTTTTTTTTTTGCCCCATCTGTTAACCCCTAAATGTATAGTGGAATCTACAAAAGAAATTAAGTGGTGCTTTTCCTAGTGGTGCTTTTGTTTGGGTTTGCCCGCTATTAAAAAAGTTAATTGCGTATCCTCTACAGGACGTTGCGAACTAACCCTGGCAATTATTTTTAGCTGTTGTGGTTTTTCTAGGTAAATATACGTCCAAGTAGTTTGCCATTGCTTTCAATACAGTCGGCTTCTCGATACTGCAGTCGAAACCAATGCAAGACGCAGGGCCTACAGTTGAGATCGAACCCGGCACCCCGGCATTACGATGCGCTTTCGCAACGCCTAAGCCACAGATACCGACTTGCCTCTCTATTACGTCAGTTATAATCACTATCAGCATGAGCCGTGGCAAGGAAAGTGGGCGGCATGATTGGTGGATAGAGGGAATCCAGTGTGTAGATGTGAAGGACAGACGTCTACAGACACTTATATAAACGATACACTCCTTGTCCAGTGTGTGATGCTTGTGACAGATTGCACGCATCGCTTCTGCATCATCATCTTCATCATCATCATCATCATCATCATCATCATCATCATCATCATGTGTTCTGGCTATAAGCGTAGAAAACCATGGTTCGCCATGTCACACGAGCACTACAATCATGGATCATCTCAATGCTCTTGTTCAGTCCCATTCACGTGAGCATATCATCAAGGCATTTATCTACTTGTCTTTGCCTTATACATCTCCCGTTACTCTTCCCAGCTGTCACTAAGTTCTTGAATTTGTTTTTTCTCATAACATACTCTAAAAATATTTACGAAGTTTCATTTTTCTCATCAGGTTACCGTTTCTATTTTATGTATACTTCTTCTGCTTCTTCTTTGCGTTCGGTTTCGTATGCTCAGATCAGACCATCAGGTGGGTTGACTCTATAAACTCGCATGTCAGCTGCAGGTCCTGCATGGTTCCCCATAGCTTGCTCTGCGCACTTTGCTCTTGAAGCCAGGTGTCTTTTCGAAGTTGCAGGTAGAGTGGGCAGGTCTGCAGAATGTGCTGAGGTGTTTGTGGTCCTGTCTGACAGGCACACTGTGGGGACTGTACAATCTTTATTTTATGCATGTGGTAGTTGAGACCAAAAATAACGATAAGAATAATTTGAAGTCCGTAGCCGGATAATTACGCGTGCCAGTCGGCCAGGTTTAAGAACTTTATAATCAACATCAAAACTAATTTTAAAAAAAAATGATTTAAACTTCCATGCTGATGCAGTCTCGATCATCAGGAAGTGCTTGTAACTCTCTAAGACGGTCATCTCTTTCAGTCCCCAGATTATGCTGAATTCAACAGAGTCTGTGCTAAAGTGTTTGTATCCTAGAGTAACAATTTTGTAGTCTCATTAAGCTGAAACACACAGCTTTGGGAGATGAGCTTATTAAGTAACAAGAAAATAAGGGGTAAACTTAACAGAAGAATGGGATACACGAGAATAGTGTAACAAATTAACGTATGGTTAGTTCCTTTGTACTGAAACAGTAACTATAACTGGGCCGACGCTAAGCAAGAGTGATGTCATTAATGCCATGCTAGATGCATATCGCGTGGGTTTTTATCGTGGTTTGGGTCGTCGCAGGTCGACCCAGCTTAAAATGGTTACCAGGATGTGTGTCCTTGGGAAGCAAAGACGCCGGCGTAATGCTGATCACATTAACCACCTAGTGCCGATTGGTCTGTAGAAATATGGGTGCTTTTCCTATATGCCCGATGCGCCAAAGGCGTGAAAAGGGAACTTAAATTGACTTTACTTTGATGCATATCATTATGAAGATCATGACAACAAGCAGGACTCGGTATCCTTGTCCACACTGGTGGATATGGCAGTACAGTCTGGATCAGCCAGATATGAACATTCCACCAAGGGCACAAGACATTTGTTTCATCAACACAGAAGGGCATATCGGTTGTTTTACTCTTCTGGAGCTGCTGAGCTTGGGAGAAGATCTCCTGGTAGCTCCTCGCAGCGCCATTCTCCTCAGACTAATGATCTCTTTGTGCCTCTGCACTGTTTACTTGCTACAAAGGACCTTAACAAGATCTGTCTTGTTGAATGGAAGCAGGCACAGAAAAACAAAACTGCCAAGAAAACGCCTGTGAGATGAACGGAGGCTGGCGGTATCCGCAGCAAATGACATCAATTGCTCGGAATGCTAAAGAAGAAGAAAATATTTCAGTTTCTGCGGCATGATTATATTAAACGTTAACTATCTAGTTACCTCGTTTTGCAATACTTTGTTTAACGGCAGGAAAAAAATTGAGAGGAAAGCCAAACAATGAATATTCAGTAAACAGGGCAGAGCTGATATTAACACTGTATGGATTAGGTTGGGATATATTGTCGAATCAGTGACGCTAATACGACTGTGTGACCGAGGAGTTAAGCTTGATGAAGCACGTCTATGCCGTCTTCAAGATAAAGACAGGATATACTATAACCAACTTCTCCTGGGAATAATCAGTAGGAGTACCTAGGGTGGCTGCTGCATTGGAGGATTGAGCATGCATGGGTGTCGACTGTGATAACATAACATACAGTAAAACCACATTAACATGAATTTCGAAAAATCGAGAGTTGGTATTAAATAATTCGTGATTAGCGAGGGACTAATAGATGTATTATCTTCTTCTTCGCGTTCACCGGCTGTTATCTCCAGCGGAAGATTTAGGTTGTTCGTCCACCTCTGGATATTAGTCTTGTTACAGAACCTGACTTTTGCGTGCACTTCCGTTTTACAGATCTAACATACTTATATGCGGATTTTTGGTTCCTTGCCTTTCCGGCAGATGCACTCCAACTTCGAAGGAAGCATCAAATTAGTCGACTCTTACGACATGCTTGTTAGGGAAGCAGTGGGTCTTTTCTTGTTCTCCCTCTCAATGGGGTCCAGGAACCCCACACGGGGAAGATATATTACGAATAATATCTACCTGATGTAACCAATATTTTATTCATGTTAACTGAGTATTCAGTTTAACCAAGTTCATGTTAGAGAGGTTTCATAGCAAAGTTTCCGTTCTGAGCTACACAAAAAGTAATCGAAAGTAAACCAGTAAATAAACACTGAATGAAACAAATATTTAATTTGTTTATTTATCATATATCTTGGCAGTCAAATAAATGCACCATAAAATGTAATATAAAAATAATATAATTGTTAAAATTGCAAACAAGACAAAACATTTTGAATTATCTAATATATCACAAGAGAGCGACGGTAGTGTAACGGCTAGACCCTAGCCTTCTGGTCCCAGGGTCTTGAGTTCAAATCTGCATCGATTCAAACCTTTTTCTCTTAAAGTGGCTTTGGCCTCTAGGTCTACCCAGCCTAAAAATGGGTAGCAGATAATATATGGGAAGTAAAGGCGACCGACGCAATGTTAACCATATCACTTATCGGGTGTCCTTTTATCAATAAAACTAAAGTTCTAGCACTGCATGCCTGGCGAACCGTAGTGGTGCAGATGCTAGATGCTCGACTGCGGATCCAAAAGTCGTGGGTTCAAATCCGAACGGAGCGGGACTTTTTTTTTTCTATTCAACAAATTATGTTGGCTTCCGGGGGGAAGAAAGAGGGGGGGGGGGGGGTCGTCTGTGACTTAGGCGCAGCAAACGTTCTTCGTAATGCCGGGCTGCCTGGTTCGATCCTAGCTGCAGGGGATTTGACAGCAGACTGTCTTGCACTGGTTTCCGCAGGGATACCGACAGTCGATCTTTCAAAGGCAATGGCAAGCCACTGAACGTAAATTTGACTAGAAAAACCACAACAGCCAAAATATGATGGGGTTGGTTCTGCAACGTCCTGTAAAGGATTCGCAACTAACATTTTTTTCCTTCCATGTGGATCAAGTTTTAAAAGGGTACTAGATAAAGTGCCGATTGGTCTATAAAATATAGGGGGTTGACCAATATATGTCCAGTACGCGTAAAGCCCTGGACACTGGTCATTTACTTTGCTTCACTCTATGTCCGATGCAACAAAGGTTTTAAAAAAGGGTCCGGGGTATACTCACATACATCAGTAGTTTATTCTTGTTTGATCATTGTTGTGTATGGCAATAGCCAGCACTGGTGTAATGCGTAGACGCGCTGGGAAGTTTCCTACTGGGAAATTTCTAAGAGGCCCCATGCACAGTCAATGCACAGAAGAAAAAACATGAACAATGGTTTGTTTGTTTCGATTACCCCCCTGGAAATACAGTATTTATACATGTGGCAGTTATCTGGGCGCCGATACAAAATAAGGCAATACAGGGTGGGGGGAAAAAGGGGTGGGAGGGGGGTTTAACACGGGATTTTACACATTTTTCAAGCTCGCGAGGGTGAGTGGGGGGGGGGGGGGGGTATACCTATCATATGTCCTTGGGATAAGACCATGACCACTGACTCGTCGTTTGAATGCAATGAGGATAATCTGTCGACCAACTAACTTACTAACTAACTAACTACTAACTAACTAACTAACTAACTAACTAACTAACTAACTAACTAACTACTAACTAACTAACTAACTAACTAACTAACTAACTAACGTTGATTTCAATAGAACTAACTAACTAACTAACTAACTAACTAACTAACTAACTAACTAACTAACTAACTAACTAACTAACTAACTAACTAACTAACTAACTAACTAACTAACTAATCAACTAACTAACTAACTAACTAACTAACTAACTAACTAACTAACTAACTAGCTAGCTAGCTAACTAACTAACTAAAGTTGAAATCAATAGAACTAACTAACTAACTAACTAACTAACTAACTAACTAACTAACTAACTAACTAACTAACTAACTAACTAACTAACTAACTAACTAACTAACTAACTAACTAACTAACTAACTAACTAACTAACTAACTAACTAACTAACTAACTAACTAACTAACTAACTAACTAACTAAAGTTATATTCAATAGATGATATTGTGAAGCAGGGGCGGTGAAGCCTTGGGGCTGATGCCCCCTGCTCCCCACCCCAATAGTTGCATATGTTAAGCTCCACCACCCATAATACTCAGGGAGGCTGGGTGCCCCCACCCGATGTGGAAACCTGTTCAAGGGGTCTGTCCCACCCCACCCCCCAAGCTATGTATGGACGGTGTTTGTTTAAGTATTTGTTTATACCTGTCATATTATTTCGAACATACAATTATTTTTATCATTTCTAATTTTTATGATTGCATACTTAGACAAGGCTTAAGCCCTTAAAGCACCCCTGCCCATAGAAATTTATAAGAGGAAAGAGTGCCCCTGTGCCTCTCCCACCCCCATGATTGTTCTCCATTAAAGCCCTTGTCGTAATAATCATGTTTGGACTCAAACACACAAATAATATAATCATTCAGTCTCGACCCAAAGTAGCTTTGCTACCAATAACTGTGATCTGTACGTATAATTAGCTTAATTACGAATATTTTTTTTAAACTGTCACTGGTTATTCTTTGTAGTTTTACGTTTGCGACTTGCTGGTGTGCCTTGAGAGATATCTCTGTCGTCATTTAAAAGTTCACTGTGGTTTTTCTTTGTTGGTTTGCCCTCGTTCTGGAAAACAACCTGCACTTCCGGAGTTTTCTTAGATACGGCACACATCTCCATACTGCTGGTCACATTGTCCGTATGGACTGTGACTTCTGCTAGTGTCCGTTTCACGGTTTCTGCGCTATGGTTGAACTCAGCAGTATCATCACTGTCTTGAAACTCGTCTGAAGCGAGGTTAATGACTCCCCTTTTCAGAGTATCTGGCGAGACAATAGTTTTGTCGCGTTTGCTGTTGGATGCTTCTTCAAGCAATTCTGCTGAGATGGTTTGGTAGATTCTCTGTAAGGTGATGAGGCATTCGAAGAGTAATGTTGCTGTCAGAAGCCAGGAGGCTATCTGTAAATATATAGATGTTCATGAGTGACAAGTTGACCATATATTATAATATGAAAAAGAAAAACAAGAGGTAATCCTGGAAATAATGACAGATTTTGAAAAAAAACCATATACATCAAACATCAATTATCCTCTTCCTCCTCCTCCTTTTTCGCCTTCTTCTTTTTCTTCTTCTTCTTCTTGTTCCTCTTCTTCTTCTTCTGCTTCTTCTTTATCGTAATCTGTTTTCTTCTTCTTCTTCTTCTTTTTCTTCTTCTTCTTCTTCTTCTTCTTCTTCTTCTTCTTCTTCTTCTTCTTCTTCTTCTTCTTCTTCTTCTTCTTCTTCTTCTTCTTCTTCTTCTTCTTCTTCTTCTTCTTCTTCTTCTTCGTTTTTGTTTCTTCATTTACATTTTCAGATGTCGAGAGGGATATCAAGTTATTCTTCTTACTCTTCTTGCTGCGTCAACCATAGACACGTCATGCTGATTTAGAATTAATTGATGGTTTTTCCATTTTTTGTTTGTTTTGTTTTTCCACATGATCTACGTTTTTCAGCACTTCTGGTCTGTGTCTTGTTTGATATGGTGTTACAAGCAGTCTCACAGACATTTCATGCTGATTTAGAATTTAACTTGTTATATGTGCCACCTTATCTTTTTCATCCTTTTTGTGCCTTGCAGCCCCCTTCTTTGTCTTTTCCACATGATGACCACATTTACGTAGCAAAAAAAAAAAAAAAAAAACAAGGAATTTTCAGCACTTCTTTGGTCAGAGTGTGCCTGAGAGGCAAAGAACCAGCGAGTTCTGCATATAAATAAGCCGTTGATATGTGCACGACACAAATTCAAGTTTACAAACAAACAACCACTTTCGCTCTTTAAATAAAAGAAAAATCGCCTCCATGCTGATTTTGGACCCAAGTAACCCAGCAGTCAACCTACAACGTGTGCCAAAGTGTATACCTGGGCTGTGAGAAAGTAGGCGTAAAACCGTGACGTGTCCTCGGTGACGTCAGCTAGATTCACTTGTGAAAACTGGTCACACGACAGTTTTCTGCAGTCACTGTTGAAATCAATATATATATATATATATATATATATATATATATATATATATATATATATATATATATATATATATATATATAACCAAAAGATTGGGAGATTGCTATCATTATACCTATATCTAAAATAGGTGATAACAGACAATGTGAAAACCACAGAGGCATATCCCTCCTCAGCGTTCCCGGTAAAAGTTACTCTAGAATTCTTGAACAGAGACTTAGAAGTCTGGTAGAGCCACAGCTTGACGAGGCCTAATGTGGCTTCAGAGCAAACCGAAGTACTCAAGACCTTATCTTCACACTGAGACAGATGAGTGAAAAAGCCCTGGAATATAAGAGTGAGATGCACTTATGTTTTTTGGATCTGGAAAAGGCATTTGACAAGGTACCTTGGAACAAGCTCTGGGACTGCTTGGCAGGGAAAAACATCCCAGCACCCCTGATCAGTGCAATACAGAGTTTCTACAAAAGGTGCAGAAATTATGTAAGAACAGCAGACTAAAAGTCAGAAGAATTCAAGACTGCCAGCGGTGTTAGACAAGGTGATATTCTCTCACCTTACCTCTTCATTCTTATGATGGATCATGTCATCAAGACCTGTAAGGAGAAGACAAAGAAGTACTCTGTAGGGTACTGGAAGATGAGACCAATCTGTATATCAGAGCTGGCTTTTGCAGACGGTGTGGCCCTGATAGCTAAATCAGAGGCACACCTTCAGTCCAACTTACTTGTCTGGAAGGAAGAGCTTGAAAAGAAAGGGATGATCATCAGTGTCTCCAAAACTAAAACTCTTCCAGGCCATAAACCGAGGGTTTCTTAGCAAAAGAGAAATTGGCAAGAGGACGAAAATGGCTGTTTACCGCTCTACCTATGTACCAGTCCTGACCTATGAGTGTGAGTCATGGGCAATGACAACAGCTCACAGAAGCCAGCTGCAGGCCTCGGAAATGAGATACCTGAGAAAGGTGGTCCAAGTGACAAGAAGGGACAAAGTCCGCAATCAGACAATACGTCAAGATCTTGATACCCAGCCCTTACTAACCCGAGTAGATCAGTCACAGTTACGATGGTTTGGACATGTATGCAGAATGGGAGAAAATCGGCCACCATGGCAAGCATGGGAGGCTAAGAACCAGGGAACCAGACCTCCGGGACGACCCAGGGTGTGCTGGGAAGACAACATCCGACAGTCCCTAACTGACAGAGGGCTGGAATGGAACAAAGCCAGAAAGAAAACTGCTGATAGAGACGTCTGGCGATCTCTCTGGCAAACCTCTACACCCCAAGGTAGAAGAGGAGCGACTAAGTAAGTAAGTATATATATATATATATATATATATATATATATATATATATATATATATATATATATATATATATAAACAGTTTTTTTTTTCTGGTAGTACGCAGTACCGGCACTTGTGTAAGCATAATGTTTTCAGAGCAGCTGTTATAGACACTTCAAGGTGAGTACAGTGTACCACCTTTTTTAAAATAAAATAAAAATAACAAAACATTAACCAAGAAGAAAGAAATACCACAGAATGAAACACTCCTAAATACCAACTAGCAGTAAAAATTAACACAATTTTTGTTTCGTACTGATGATTTGTGTCCCCGGTTAGCATGAATCTTATAATGCAAACTCTTGATTTATCTGTCCCTTTGTGTTCGTATTAACGAGGTTTTATTGTGTATGGAAATGGCAGATGTTTCAAACAAGTTAATCGATACAACGATCTTTGAACAGCGATAAAATATGAAACAAGATGCCTTGCAGAAATTAGAATAACAATCGTCGTGGCAAAAGTGACCTTTAGCAGGATGCACAACATTATCAGCAGTGACCTTCGTGGCGATTCGCATCTTCTTATTGTGGAGAATCTTTTCCAACATCATTATCATCATCATAACCACTTCTGTCTGTTAGCGTTGTGGGGATGAATCATTTGCGATCCAGTGCACGCTGGTTGCCACTGGCTATTGTCAGGCCGCGAAGGCGTACTGGGTTTTTAATGTTGTCCATCCATCTTTCGCTGCCGTCATCTTTCTCTTTAGCTGATCTTTCTGAGAAATGGTGCCTGTTATGGTGTTTGATTTATCTGCATTCTAACGAGACGGCCAAACCAGTTGATCTGCTGTTTCTCGATGAATCTAGTATACCTTGTGTACACCGACAGAAGTGGTTTTTGATGTTGATATTAATGACAATGATGATGACGATTGAAGCGATTCTCCACAAAAAGAAGATGTTAACTGCAACAATAAAAACAGTGCTTAAGTGTCACACATGACCTAGGTTATTTATATAAATGTGCGCCACTGACAATAAGCAGACAAGCCAAATAACATTTACTAGTGGCAGAAATGTAGTTTCTGAGAAGAATTCAAAGAAAACCATGGAAGGATAGAAAAACAAAACTAGACAGTTCTTCTCAAGACACATGACAACCTTTAAACTTATCGGAAAAATTACAGTGAAAAAATCAGTTTTTCGAACATGTTTTGAAAAGGAATGAACCCAAGAACTTGGTGACGAGGGGTAAGAATGATGGAAAGAGAGCAATAGGAAAACAAAGTGATAAAGCCTTTGTGGCTTGGATTCATGGATGGGAACACTGACCTGATCCGTGATTCTGGTGATCCTTTGAAAGGGCGAAACATGAGATCCCGCACTTATCCGCACAGCACATGATGATGATGCACGAGTACCAGCACCCTCTTTTCTAGAAACGAAAGTCCTGTGTGTGTGTGTGTGTGTGTGTGTGTGTGTGTGTGTGTATGTGTATGCGCGCGCGCCTGTAGACAATATTTGGACACGTAAGACGTAATAATCTGTAACAGCTGGTGACAGGCCAAGTTGATGGACACGGAGCAAGACGAAAACAACAAGGCAAACGCCTGAATAACAGAAGCCTGTACCTATCGTGTTCCTGAACCTACAGGCCTTAGATTATCTAACAATAAGTTTTCATGGTATATGTATGTTAGTTACGTATCTTTTACAGGACTTTGCAGAACCAACACCAGCATTGGCTTTTGTGGTTTTTCTAGGCAAATTTACGTCCACTGAGCGATATTTGTTTTACCTTGTTGAACGCTGTTTATTAAAAAAAACAAAATCTACTTTACTTTTCATAATATTCATGGACAATATCAATAACATAGACATATCACCCCAGATGTCGATAAACAAGAGGACCTAAATGCTTCTCTTTGCCGACGATCAGTGCATATTCCACAGTGAAAGTAAACAGCTGCAGGACCACATAAGACAACAATACAACAGTTGCATTAAACATTACATGAAGATTAATATTGTAAAAACATAATTTTTGAGAATAAGTAGAGAGCAAGAAACCATTGACATAAAGATCAAAGATCAAAATCTGAAACAAATGCAAGAGTATAAATACTTAAGAAGCATCATTATATACAATGGTAAATAAAGATAGAGAGATAGAAACGAGAATCCAACAAGCCAGCAATATCACGTACCAACTTGCCCCAGTCTTAATACATCATGCTATCCCAATAAAGACAAAAAGACAAATTATAAATACAAAATCTATTCCGACTTTAGGTTACCAGTGTCAGACTTAGACATTGACTAAAGAACACGAGAGAAAACTAACCACCTGAGAGATGAGATTTTTGAGAAAGGCCGTGAATAAAACCAGAAGAGATCGAGTGAGAAACGACGTGATCACAAGAACTATTGGAACAACACCCATCGTCAACTTTGTTGATAAAGGAAGAATGAAATGGTTTGGCCATCTAATGAGAATGAAACCATCGATGCCAGCAGCAAGAGCGTAGAACCTGAAAATCTAAACACCATGTGGCAGGGGAAGACCGAGAAAACATGGAATAAAGGAGTCATTGACACTTTGAGAAAGCATAACATCACGGTATATAAAGCAAACGAGAGCGCCCTGGCTCGGCTGCAGATCGTCTGGTGAACAGCAATACTTAGCGGCATAAACAGATGTTGATAAAAGAAGAAAATCTACTGTTTTCGATATTATCCTGGTGTGGGTTACATGTCTCCATTGTAAAAAAGTGGGTTGAGAGAGGAGGGTGGAAAGGCACTGTCTCCTAACACACATGTCGTACAATTATGTGTGTTTCCTTCGAATCAGAAGTGCGACAAAGCAACAGTCTACTCAAATTAAACCACGTCTGCAAAAGGCAAAAGGATGTGCGCGCAAAACTCCAGAGCTGGAGCAAGATAGAAATCCAAAAGTGGTCGAAAAACCAGAAATTTCCGCTGGAGTTTACAACTGGTGAGCGCATGGTAACCACAACTTTCCATTCAAATGCTAACTAGTGTTTCCTCTTATCTCTCTACTTCTGTCTATGAGTGCCCATCAGTTCTTGTATCTGTGTTTTCTAAGTAGAAATTATATCGTTCAGACGGCGGGTAGCCACTGTTATAAAACTAATAATTTACCTGTAGTCTTCATGTCCCACACACACGTGGATGTTGTCGCACCAGAAGCTGAAACCCGAGGATATCTTGATACTTGAGACGAGGACACAGATGAAGAACACCAAGTAGAAGAGGAACATAGATACTAGAAACCCTGGCTCCGACCTGAGAAGAGATAAATCACTGGTGACGAAGATGTCAGACTGGTAGTTTAAAGTAACTAGGATTAAGCCTTTGGTCTGTATAGCCTCTTCTCTCTCTCTCTCTCTCTCTCTCTCTCTCTCTCTCTCTCTCTCTCTCTCTCTCTCTCTCTCCCTCTCCCCCTCTCTCTCTATCTATCTATCTATCTATCTATCTATCTATCTATCTATCTATCTATCTATCTATCTATCTATCTATCTATCTATCTATCTATCTATCTATCTATCTATCTATCTATCTATCTATCTATCTATCTATCTATCTATCTATCTATCTATCTATCTATCTATCTATCTATCTATCTATCTATCTATCTATCTATCTATCTATCTATCTATCTATCTATCTATCTATCTATCTATCTATCTATCTATCTATCTATCTATCTATCTATCTATCTATCTATCTATCTATCTATCTATCTATCTATCTATCTATCTATCTATCTATCTATATCTATCTATCTATCTATCTATCTATCTATCTATCTATCTATCTATCTATCTATCTATCTATCTATCTATCTATCTATCTATCTATCTATCTATCTATCTATCTATCTATCTATCTATCTATCTATCTATCTATCTATCTATCTATCTATCTATCTATCTATCTATCTATCTATCTATCTATCTATCTATCTATCTATCTATCTATCTATCTATCTATCTATCTATCTATCTATCTATCTATCTATCTATCTATCTATCTATCTATCTATCTATCTATCTATCTATCTATCTATCTATCTATTTAGAAATTTCAAAACTTTTAATCCTGACTCTTTTTTACTAGATTTGCGAAATGCACAGCTAGACCATGTTTATCAGCTTCCTGAACCGGACGATGCTATAGCCTACTGGACGAAAACAGTATATAGTGTATTTGATAAACATGTGCCTATTAAAGAACTTAGAGTAAAACATCAAACGAAATCACCATGGATTACTAGCGAGGTTCTGGAAATTATGAGAGAAAGAGATACAGCACACAAGAATAAAAACCATGATCTTTTCTGTAAACTGAGAAATAAGGTAAAATATTTAATTCGTAAAAATAAGAAAGATCATTTTAAAAAAATGATTACAGATAAAACAAATAATGCAGACATTTGGAGGGCTATCAACATCCTAACCAATAAGCATTCTTCAGATCAATCAAAACCAAATTATGTAACGTGTGATGATTTTAGTTGTTTCTTCAAATCAGAAATAGAGAATTTAAAGTCCACAATACCAGACTCACAGTGTGACTTAAGCTTACTAGCATCATTCTGTGAGGAAAAATGCAATACGAATATCCCTTCTGAGATTCCCCTTATGTCTGTTGCTGAAGTGTATGATTATCTCATCAACTTCAAGCAAACAAACTCCTCTGGCTTGGATGGAATCAGCAATCGAATCCTTCGATGTGCTGCACCTGTCGTTAGTGATTCCTTAACGTTTATATATAATCAGTGCCTTGCCAAGAACTACTTTCCATCAGCATTTAAAATTGCTAAGGTTTATCCTCTGCTTAAACCTGGCTCAGCTGACAACTCTCTAGGCAACTATAGACCCATTTCTCTACTATCTTCACTATCTAAACCATTAGAGAAACACATACATAAAATAATGTTTCAGCATTTAAATAAAAATAGTCTAATAGTCGATAGCCAGTCAGGGTTCAGACCTAAACACTCTTGTCAAACTGCGCTGACAAAAATGACAGACAACTGGCACCTTAACATCAACAATGGCAAAATTTGTGGTGCCGTATTTGTTGACTATAAGAAAGCCTTTGACATGGTTGATCACAATATTTTAATTAGTAAACTAAAGACCTTAAAAACCAACGAAAATTTAGTGACATTAATAAAATCATTTTTGTCTGATAGGCAGCAGGTAGTCTCCCTCAGTAACCGTTATTCAAAACCCACACAGTTAAATATAGGCGTTCCTCAGGGTTCAACATTGGGTCCACTACTGTTTGCTACTTATATTAATGACCTTCCGTTACATCTCAGTATAACATGTGATCTGTTTGCTGACGACTGTACAATATATACTAGTCATGACAATTGTAATGAATTAGAACGTTCTTTACAGAAAGAAATAGATAAACTCATAAAATGGAGCAATGATAATCGCATGCAAATTAATATTAATAAAACTAAATCTATGGTGATAACAACTAGGCAAAAGCTACAAACATTAGCTGTACACAAGCCACCGCTTGAGCTCTTCATTGACAAGCTACCTATTGTTAATGTAGTTGAACACAAAACATTAGGTGTTTTAATTGACAGCCATCTAACTTGGAGTTCCCATGTTCATGCCATGACCAAAAAAGTAGCACAAAAAGTATATCAACTTGGACAAATTCAGCACTTTCTGGACGAAAATACACGTAAAATATTTTACGTATCCTACATTCAAACGCATGTTGACTATTGTTCCACAATTTGGGATGGCTGCTCCAAATCTAATGTCAAACGGCTGAGTTCTCTACAAAATAGGGCCTTACGCCTAGTTTCCGATAGAAACTACGTTGAGAAAAATCTTTTATATGGACATCTAAGGCTTCTGCCATTTAGTAAACGTTTAATTTTTAATAAGGCCAAATTTATTCACAAAATCCTATCTAAAGATACTCCAAATTACATAGACCGATTTATTCAATCTAATCCTAAGAATAGCAAGCGACTAGGTTTATTACATTTGCCTAAACCCAGAATTGATTTATTTAAAACAAGTCTAGCATATTCTGCTGCTCATTTATGGAACCATCTTCCACCCGATCTGAAAACTACAAAAAGTCCTTACTCATTTAACCGCAAACTCTTTCATTTCATGATTATCAGTGATTACATGCCACCTTAAATGTAGTTAATAATCCACAATGCATTACTAGTTATAATTAATTGCAGTACGTATGATATGTTTGTATGCGTATATGTGTGACATGCTGGCGTGTGTAGGCGTATGTGTGTATGTATGATTCTGTGTGCCCATATGTTTGTGTGTGAGTCATTGGGCTTGTGTGTGTATGTGGGTGTGTGTGTTCGCGCGTGAGCGTGCGTACATATTTTACCAGCCATGCTTTTGTTTTTTGATATATAATATGCATATTATTACATGAATATAACATGCTTCATGAATATAACTGCTGTGTGAAAGATGGAAGTTTGGAAGGGCCGAATGTAAGACAGGCCTGCGTGCCTAATTTGTAACCCTTTGAAAATAAAGTTCGTTCGTTCGTTCGTTCTATCTATCTATCTATCTATCTATCTATCTATCTATCTATCTATCTATCTATCTATCTATCTATCTATCTATCTATCTATCTATCTATCTATCTATCTATCTATCTATCTATCTATCTATCTATCTATCTATCTATCTATCTATCTATCTATCTATCTATCTATCTATCTATCTATCTATCTATCTATCTATCTCTCTCTCTCTCTCTCTCTCTCTCTCTCTCTCTCTCTCTCTCTCGTTCATTTCCTCCTGTCTCTTTCTCTCAAAACCACCCCTCCTCCTGCCTCTCCAGCCCACACATACATCTGTCTTTTTGTCATTTACACTATTTCTTAGTTAACAAATGACTACCACTTTCTTTCCGCACGGGAAATTCTCCTCCTCCCCACCCCCCACTTTCTTTTCCTTGTTAGCGCTTATTCTATCTTTTTTATTCTGCTCTATCCGCTCTCTCTTTCCTCCCCCCCTCTCTCTCTCTTTCTTATTATATCTATAACCCCCTAACTCCACCCGTCACTTCCGTTCTTATTGTCAGTGTTTTTTTTTTATCTTGTTCTTCTTCTCTTCCACTAATTACCTCATCGAGGTGTTGGGGGAGATGTAAGGATCTTTTGTGCGCTTTTCCCAATGCATTGTACAAGTTGTTGTTTATTTCTATTAGGTTGCTCCTAATGATGTCGCTCCATCTCTTGCGTAGTCTTCCCCTTGCTCTGTGTGTCAATATATTTCTTTACCGTGGCTCTCTGAGGTAGTTCGTACTAGGGCATTCCCGTCAGGTGGCCAAACCATCTAAATTGTTGTTCTTTAATGAATGTATAATTCTTAACTATATTTAATTTTCCTCCCACAAGACACACATATTGCATACACTTATACTCTACTCTACTCTGTCTGTCTGTCTGTCTGTCTGTCTGTCTGTCTGTCTGTCTGTCTGTCTGTCTGTCTGTCTGTCTGTCTGTCTGTCTGTCTGTCTGTCTGTCTGTCTGTCTGTCTGTCTGTCTGTCTGTCTGTCTGTCTGTCTGTCTGTCTGTCTGTCTGTCTGTCTGTCTGTCTGTCTGTCTGTCTGTCTGTCCCTCTATTTTTCCACTTTCTCACTTCTATCTTTTGTTAGTCACTTTTGTCTACCCCTTCCCCATCCTTTCTCTCTCTCCTTCTCTCTCTCTCTCTCTCTCTCGTTCTCCATAGAAACAAACTCTTTCTCTCCTGCATTCCTTCTTTATCCATCTCAGTGTCACCTTTTCGACTAAACATATTTTAAACACACACACACACACACACATGTGCGTATATGTGTGCGCGCGTGTAGACAAACACACGTACTGACATGTCTGCCTTAGACACTCTGCCCAGGTGCTTTAGACAAACACATACCTACTAACCTGTCTGCCTCAGACACTCTGCCCAGGTGCGTGTAGACAAACAAACACACGTACTGACCTGTCTGCCTCAGACACTGTCCAGGTGCGTGTTGACAAACACACACATACTTACCTGTCTGCCACAGAAACTCTGCCCAGGCGCGTGTAGACAAACACACACATACTGACCTGTGTGCCTCAGAAACTCTGCCCAGGTGTGTGTAGACACACACACACACTGACCTGTCTGCCTCAGACACTCTGCACAGGTGTGTGTAGACAAACACACACATACTGACCTGTCTGCCTCAGACACTCTGCCCAGGTGTGTGTAGACAAACACACACACATACTGACCTGTCTGCCTCAGACACTCTGCCCAGGTGCGTGTAGACAAACAAACACACGTACTGACCTGTCTGCCTCAGACACTGTCCAGGTGCGTGTTGACAAACACACACATACTTACCTGTCTGCCACAGAAACTCTGCCCAGGCGCGTGTAGACAAACACACACATACTGACCTGTGTGCCTCAGAAACTCTGCCCAGGTGTGTGTAGACACACACACACACTGACCTGTCTGCCTCAGACACTCTGCACAGGTGCGTGTAGACAAACACATACACACTGACCTGTCTGCCTCAGACACTTTGCCCAGGTGCGTGTAGACAAACAAACACACGTACTGACCTGTCTGCCTCAGACACTGTCCAGGTGCGTGTTGACAAACACACACATACTTACCTGTCTGCCACAGAAACTCTGCCCAGGCGCGTGTAGACAAACACACACATACTGACCTGTGTGCCTCAGAAACTCTGCCCAGGTGTGTGTAGACACACACACACACTGACCTGTCTGCCTCAGACACTCTGCACAGGTGTGTGTAGACAAACACACACATACTGACCTGTCTGCCTCAGACACTCTGCCCAGGTGTGTGTAGACAAAAACACACACACATACTGACCTGTCTGCCTCAGACACTCTGCCCAGGTGCGTGTAGACAAACAAACACACGTACTGACCTGTCTGCCTCAGACACTGTCCAGGTGCGTGTTGACAAACACACACATACTTACCTGTCTGCCACAGAAACTCTGCCCAGGCGCGTGTAGACAAACACACACATACTGACCTGTGTGCCTCAGAAACTCTGCCCAGGTGTGTGTAGACACACACACACACTGACATGTCTGCCTCAGACACTCTGCACAGGTGCGTGTAGACAAACACATACACACTGACCTGTCTGCCTCAGACACTTTGCCCAGGTGCGTGTAGACAAACAAACACACGTACTGACCTGTCTGCCTCAGACACTGTCCAGGTGCGTGTTGACAACACACACACATACTTACCTGTCTGCCACAGAAAACTCTGCCCAGGCGCGTGTAGACAAACACACACATACTGACCTGTGTGCCTCAGAAACTCTGCCCAGGTGTGTGTAGACACACACACACACTGACCTGTCTGCCTCAGTCTGCCTCAGAACTCTGCACAGGTGTGTGTCAAACGTGTAGACACACACACACATACTGACCTGTCTGCCTCAGACACTTTGCCCAGGTGCGTGTAGACAAACAAACACACGTACTGACCTGTCTGCCTCAGACACTGTCCAGGTGCGTGTTGACAAAACACACACATACTTACCTGTCTGCCACAGAAACTCTGCCCAGGCGCGTGTAGACAAACACACACATACTGACCTGTGTGCCTCAGAAACTCTGCCCAGGTGTGTGTAGACACACACACACACTGACCTGTCTGCCTCAGACACTCTGCACAGGTGTGTGTAGACAAACACACACATACTGACCTGTCTGCCTCAGACACTCTGCCCAGGTGTGTGTAGACAAACACACACACATACTGACCTGTCTGCCTCAGACACTCTGCCCAGGTGCGTGTAGACAAACAAACACACGTACTGACCTGTCTGCCTCAGACACTGTCCAGGTGCGTGTTGACAAACACACACATACTTACCTGTCTGCCACAGAAACTCTGCCCAGGCGCGTGTAGACAAACACACACATACTGACCTGTGTGCCTCAGAAACTCTGCCCAGGTGTGTGTAGACACACACACACACTGACCTGTCTGCCTCAGACACTCTGCACAGGTGCGTGTAGACAAACACATACACACTGACCTGTCTGCCTCAGACACTCTGCTCAGGTACGTGTAGACAAACAAACACACACACTGACCTGTCTGCCTCAGACACTCTGTCAAGGTGCGTGTAGACAAACAAACACACACACTGACCTGTCTGCCTCAGACACTCTGCTCAGGTGCGTGTAGACAAACACACACAAACTGACCTGTCTGCCTCAGACACTCGGCCCAGGTGCGTATAGACACACACACATACACTGACCTGTCTGCCTCAGACACTCTGCACAGGTGTGTGTAGACAAACACACACATACTGACCTGTCTGCCTCAGACACTCTGCCTAGGTGCGTGTAGACAAACAAACACACATACTGACCTGTCTGCCTCAGACACTCTGCCCAGGTGTGTGTAGACAAACACACAAACATACTGACCTGTCTGCCTCAGACACTCTGCCCAGGTGCGTGTAGACAAACACACACATACTTACCTGTCTGCCTCAGACACTCTGCCCAGATGCGTGTAGACAAACACACACATACAGACCTGTCTGCCACAGACACTCTGCCCATGTGTGAGTAGACAAACACACACATACTGAATTGACAGCCTCAGACACTCTGCGCAGGTGCGTGTAGACAAACACACACACATACTTACCTGTCTGCCACAGACACTCTGCCCTGGTGCGTGTAGACAAACACACACACATACTGACCTGTCTGCCTCAGACACTCTGCCCAGGTGCGTGTAGACAAACACACACATACTGACCTGTCTGCCACAGACACTCTGCCCAGGTGCGTGTAGACAAACACTCACATACTGACCTGTCTGCCTCAGACACTCTGCCCAGGTGCGTGTAGACAAACACTCACATATAGACCTGTCTGCCTCAGACACTCTGCCCTGGTGCGTGTAGACAAACACACACATACTGACCTGTCTGCCTCAGACACTCTGCCCAGGTGCGTGTAGACAAACACTGACATACTGACCTGTCTGCCTCAGACACTCTGCCCAGGTGCGTGTAGACAAACACTCACATACTGACCTGTCTGCCTCAGACACTCTGCCCAGGTGCATGAGGAACCACAAGAAGATGAGGCCAGCCACGGTGACCGTAACGTTCAGAAACGTGGTGTAATCGCATTCTTCTGGGGGACCGAACTCCGTCCCTGTCAGGTTGAACTTTGCTGGTGTGTTCAGAGTGAAGTCACTGTAGATGAGATACAATGGAATCATGCAGGGGTTCGTAAAACTAAATCAGATCTTACAGACAGGAGGATACAAATGTGCAGGTGAGGTTATTTACTACTACTAACACCACCACCACCACCATGACTACTACTACAACTAACATCACCACCACAACTACTATTGCTGCTTCTGCTACTGCTACTCAAACCACAACCAGTACTACTACCACCACCATCACTACCACCACCACCACCATTGATACTACTACTATTTTTACTGCTGCTGCTGTTGCTGCTACTACTACTACTACTACTACTACTACTACTACTACTACTACTACTACTACTACTACTACTACTACTACTACTACTACTACTACTACTACTACTACTACTACTACTACTACTACTACTACTACTACTACTAGTAAGGCGGGCTGTGTGGTCTCGAGGCATGGTGTCCGCCTCTAGCCTGGGGTTCAGGCCCCGGTGAGAGCTGTGATTTTTTAACGTGGACCTCTAGTAATTTTCCCTGGTTTCTGGGTAGTAAGACCAGGCGCCCTTGTGTATTGTTGCGCACGTTTAAAAAATCCTTGGCAGTTGAAAGTCGAAAAGAGTAGCCTAACGGCGCTGCTAGGCAAAGTTTGGATTTGAAAATCTACCCAAAGAATTTCAGGATCCTCGCCGGGGCTACAGAATTCGTGCAATGCGATGAGATTCTTCGAATTCAGACTTTAAACCTAAATCTAAACATCCAGTATGTCTCAGACTTGGGAAAGGGTCGTTCCACCAGTTGAAAATGAAAGTTCTTCTTCTCCATCTTAGCATTTACTGGTTGTTAACTCCGGCGGAAAGTTCTGGTTGTTCGTCCATTTCTGAACTTCGAGCTTGTTCCAGAACTTGAATCTATCGAGCACATCCGTTTACAGATATGGCTTATTCGTATGCAGACTTGTGGTTCCTTTGCTCTTATGCAGATTGACTCCAGCTTCGACTTGCAGGTCATGCTTGTTAAGGGGAAGGTGGCTTTATTTTCTCACACCCCACCCCCTATTCCGCTTCTCCCCCCCCCCCTTCTTAAAGGGACGTGGGTCCCGTAGGGGTTGATGTTGAAACAACAGCACAGTATATAATGGAACTGATGCATAAATTGGAGCCCTGTAAGACAAATATTGTCACAACAGGACAGATTTGATGATGAGTCCCTGTAAGACAAATATTGTCACAACAAGACAGATGTGATGATGAGTCCCTGTAAGACAGATATTGTCACAACAGGACATATGTGATGATGAGTCCCTGTAAGACAAATATTGTCACAACAGGACAGATGTGACGATGAGTCCCTGTAAGACAAATATTGTCACAACAAGACAGATGTGATGATGAGTCCCTGTAAGACAAATATTGTCACAACAGGACAGATGTGATGATGAGTCCCTGTAAGACAAATATTGTCACAACAAGACAGATGTGATGATGAGTCACTGTAAGACAAATATTGTCACAACAGGACAGATGTGATGATGAGTCCCTGTAAGACAAATATTGTCACAACAGGACAGATGTGATGATGAGTCCCTGTAAGACAAATATTGTCACAACAAGACAGATGTGATGATGAGTCACTGTAAGACAAATATTGTCACAACAGGACAGATGTGATGATGACTATCAAGTGAAGATTAAATATCAGAGCATCGACTTTCACTGCACCGGGGTTTTATCGCATATGGCTCAGTCTTTATGCATAGAACCACTAGTAGTCTGCCGAGAGTATCGCACACAGCACAACTCCCTAAACTTCGGCGACAATCCCCATGGATCTCATAAAAATTTTACCCTTGAACCGAAAAACGCAGCCGTGAAACAAACTTCACGTTCACCGGCAGTAAACTTCGGCGGAGTATTCGTCCACCCCCGGGCGTCAGTCTTCTTACAGAACCTGAGTTATTTGTGAGCAGACTTTCAGGTAGATATACTCCGACTTTAAAGAATGGCCTCTTCCCACCCCAGGTAGTCGCTTCCTACGACATGCTTGTTGGGAAAGCCGTGGCACTGCTCCTGTTTTCCCTATAATTGGACCCCTGAACCCACACGGGGGGAGGATGGGATGCGGGTGATGATGATGTAGGTATAATGTAGTTTTGAACACTTACCTGACAATGAGGTACAATTTGGAAAACAGCAAACACTGTCCGCCAATGTTGGATGTAATGGTTCCTAGTGGGAAGAACACTAATGACGATAGAATGACCGAGAGCAAAATGGTACCAGCCTGCACCACTTGTAGATTTGCCAGCAGTGTCTCTTTGGCTTGGCCCAGCATTTGTAGACCTTTCTGATAACAAATGTTCAAACAGTGCATCAGTTCATATTCCTTTATGGACGTTCTCATTACTTTAGTGGCAGATAGGTTAACAACTGCGCGCTGGAAAGAACACTTTCCCTCGCCTTAAGCGTACTTGACATATAGGGCTAGACCTATATTTTATAGACTAACCGGCACTCAGTAGGTGATGTGGTCAACATCACTCCAGCCGCCTTTACTTCTCAGGACTTTTACCTGGTACCCATTTAAGACCTTGTCGACGTGGGAGCAAAGGTCACACAAATTTTATTTTAAGTCCGGTTTCATTCGGATCTGAATCTAAACCTTCAGGCCCACAAACGAGCGTCTAGCTGCTACATGGCGGCTGCTCCCGAGCGTCTGAGACGGTGCTCATTGAATGCATGCAATGACAACAGTGGTCCTAAAATCCCATGCTCTAGTGGTAGAAGGTGAGCAGGTCTTATACGTTGCACATGCTCTCTGTCTCCACGGTCTGTGATATTCATGCTGTCATATAGCGCAAGATAACTCCAGCAATTGTTATATAATGTTATGTTATTGTTATGTTATCACAGCTGACTTCACTGCACCTTGGCCTTCTCACTCGTGCTCAGTCTCCGATGCAGTAGTCACTTAAAAGGTACCTCTACCAACTGTTTCCATGAAGAGTTGGTTATAATGTTTCCTATCTCGGCCTGGAAAGCGGCATAGACGTTCTTCCCCATGATTTATTTCCAGGTCATACAATCATGGCTGTGTCAGAAATACTTCATTATCTGCTAGCCCAGTCCGTAGATAGTTAGAGATATTTGCTCTGTCCCCAGCAATTACTGCCTGTTTTGATTTTACCAGTCAGTTTTACGATCAGTAATTCATCATTGGTTTCTGAATAACACCATGCTCACCCTGTTGTCAAAATCAGGCGGTTTGCTGCCACAACGCCTGCAGATCACTTCTAACCCTGTGGTATGTCAGGACTGAGTTAACAACCCCTAAGTTATGTGTTAAAACTACCCGTCTTTTTTAGGATGGAATTTTTCGTTATTTGAAGCCCTACTCTGGCTCTTGCCATATGCCGCAATATAACCTGACCATAAATATGGCCTAGAGTTTTAAACGCGGTTTCTGAGACCTCTCCACGGTGATCCTCACCCACATGTTGGTACATTGTGTCATCGGGTGTTTATCGCTTGTGTGATGTCCTGGTGGGGTAGAAAGTCAACCTCTAAGCCACAGATGTCGACTATTCAGTATGTAAGTATTAGGGTAAAAAAGTAAAGGACCTTTTTCCCCGCCTTTATGCGTATTGGGCATATATGGCTAGACCAGTATTTTTTTAGACTAATCGGCAAATGATGGGTGATGTGGCCAGCATCACACCGGCCGCCTTTACTTCCTATGACTGCACCTGGTACCCACTCAAGGCTGGGTCGACCTGAAAGAAAAAGTCATTTCTGAAAAAAAGTCTGGCCCTCGTCAGGGAGCGAACCCACGACCTTCCGATCGAACTCAGCCCCACCGAATTTTGCAACGACTAAACCACAGGCTTTAAAGATTTAAAAAACATTAAAGTTGATCCGACTTCATTGCACCGGGTTTTATCCCAAATGGCTCAGTCTCCATCTGCAGAACGGCTAACCGCCTGCCGAGAGCGTCAAACAAAGCCAGCCTCGCCGTCCGACGCAACTCCGTAGCTACAGCGACGTTCCTCCATTTACCCCAAAGGGTTAACTTTGGTACCTATTACATAGAGGCTTGGTGAACACCGAAAATCGCCCGGTTTCCAACACCGGCCGTGTGCTGCAGCGAGTCGCAGCTTAATTTAAAAGCGAGTCTCCTATCGATTGCGCTAACGCGGTCCCCATGTTTTAGGAGTCACTTCTATCCTGTGCAAAACTTCGTGTTGGTCGGCCCCTGCCCCTCCTTCCTGGTACCATGCCTTCTGCTATTATTTTTTCCAATCCGCCATGGCGCTTGATATGACCAAAATATTTCAGCTTTTGAGACATGATGCAGTTTATTAACCAGTCTTCCTTGATATTCAAATCTTTTAAAATCTCAGTATGTCTCCTCTTATTTGCCTATGATATTCTAAGAATCTTTCTATAGCATTTCAGCTCAAAAGCTCATATTTTCTCCCTTAAGGACTGGGAGATAGTCCACGACTCACATTCGTACGTCGCTACAGGAAAGATGCATGCTCTCAAAATGTTGATCTTAGTTTCTTGCTAGTGCTGGGAACAGCGCCATAAGCATAATAATATGTTACCTTTTTTGTTTTTTTTTTGTTTTTTTTTTTATTGACACTCAGAGAAAGAAGTAGAAATAGGAGAAGAAACTAAAACACAGAAGGCTACAGTTATTACACCTAAACCCGAACCTGTCGCCTTCTGCAAAAGAAGACATAGTCTAGATACGGAAACAAGTGTACATTTTAGTGGAGTATTTATTAAGTGCCAATCATTACATTTTAATTAGTTCAATATACTGTTTCTATAGCTGCAGGGGTCCTCTCCCCCCCCCCCAACCCCCTTCCCCTTTCCCACCCTCGTATATATATATTAGTGTGACAACTGTGTGATGAGCAAATTATTATGTATTTAAAGGCACTCATGGACTGAAGCAGATATAGGTTTGTTTGTTTGTTTTAGTATCCAGAAGCCATGAGTTATTAACCCTTAGGCTCGGTATTATGGATATCGCAACCTTTCGGCCTTGATTCCATTTTAAATACCGTAAATCTGGGAGAAAATGTGGCTTTTCTGCCCACCCCCGGGAGTGAACCCGGACCACAAGGAGTTCGTCACCCGCTCACCGCGCAATCCGGTTTAGCCAATTACGCTAGAGAGACGGGCAGCAGATATAGGTGAACACACTAGACAACATAAAATTCGAAAGATTTAATACCATACCAGGACTCGAACCAATCGCCTCCAGATGACAGGTCGCCTCTCTATAGGAACAGTTAATTTGTTTTTTAAACTGTTTCTGTGGCCCCAACTCTTTCAATACCAAATAGCTGATACTTTATACAACCGCTGTCCTAAACAACTCATGTTGTATTACTGACTTGTCCCCACATGTCTCAGTCATCACATCTAGTGTCTTCTTATATTTACGTTTAGGTCAGTGTACTCAAAAAAATCTGGCAACCGCAGTCCTAAACAACTCATGTTGTATTACTGACTTGTCCCCACATGTCTCAGTCATCACATCTAGTGTCTTCTTATATTTACGTTTAGGTCAGTGTACTCAAAAAAATCTGGCAACCGCAGTCCTAAACAACTCATGTTGTATTACTGACTTGTCCCCACATGTCTCAGTCATCACATCTAGTGTCTTCTTATATTTACGTTTAGGTCAGTGTACTCAAAAAATCTGGCAACCGCAGTCCTAAACAACTCATGTTGTATTACTGACTTGTCCCCACATGTCTCAGTCATCACATCTAGTGTCTTCTTATATTTACGTTTAGGTCAGTGTACTCAAAAAAATCTGGCAACCGCAGTCCTAAACAACTCATGTTGTATTACTGACTTGTCCCCACATGTCTCAGTCATCACATCTAGTGTCTTCTTATATTTACGTTTAGGTCAGTGTACTCAAAAAAATCTGGCAACCGCAGTCCTAAACAACTCATGTTGTATTACTGACTTGTCCCCACATGTCTCAGTCATCACATCTAGTGTCTTCTTATATTTACGTTTAGGTCAGTGCACTCAAAAAAATCTGGCAACCGCAGTCCTAAACAACTCATGTTGTATTACTGACTTGTCCCCACATGTCTCAGTCATCACATCTAGTGTCTTCTTATATTTACGTTTAGGTCAGTGTACTCAAAAAAATCTGGCAACCGCAGTGGTATCTAACATTCGTTTTTCACTCCTACAACAAAGAAATTGTATAGCATTTTCGTAGCAAAAATAATGAAAAGAACAAGGATTTTTTAAAAAAAAAGAGCTTTTAGTGCTGACAGAGTTGATTTTGCAAGCAATAGTTTGATCTGAAGGAGTTAAACACAGACGCTATCTGACAGAAGTGTTTATAAAAATGAATCAGATACACGGGGTTAAAAAAACGAGTTTTCTGAATTAGAAGACCGCAAGGGCGTTGTATAATCTTAGGAAACAGCAAGAGACGCATTTTAGGTTGTTTCGGTACTAAAAGAATTAGGTGTTCCTCACCTATTTTTTGTTTCGGCGTTACAACTGGAGCCATTTCTTGAAAGAAGTAATGGAAGACAACCAAATAAGATTCTCCACAACTTTCTAACATTTCACGAACAAGTATCAAGACGCGATCTGATTCACGTAGTTGGAGGTCGCAAGACGTTTGACGCATGACTGTTCACTTCAGTGGGAAAGAACTTGGTCACAATAAAACACTAAATTCGTTTACGTGTAAAAACATTTGTTTTCAAAATCTAGAATCTATCGTTTTAAATTGGTGGTAATGTATACATTTCCCTCAGCAATAGAAGCGAACGAGCACCTCTTCGGATTTTTGAAATCGGATTTGCCCCAGAAAACCAACGTCATTACTCTTTCGTTTTGGTTTAAGTCTCGTAGGGACAAATAAATACCAGCTACAATTTTATCTTGACTTCCTTCTATGAACTTCCATCACTCATGCAGAGACATTGGAGAGTTGACTCTTTAACTGTTTTTACCATTCAGAACGATGTCTGTTGCCGTACATCGCAGCACGGTCTGGTAATTGATGATAAATAGCGAAACAAATGGCACAAGTTCTTAAACTGGGTATATTTCGATAACACTTATCCCTACAAGATAACATACGACACAATTTGAATAACTATTTCCCCAGAGCTCTACAAGCTAACTTCCTCTAACTCCAACTCCAAATTCGAATATAAATCACAATTAAAGTGTCCAAGAATCGATTTTCAGTGATATAACATATCTGGACTAAACAGCAGGCGATTTCCTGTCCTAATTTAGAAGCGGTATGTAACGTTACAGTTGGTGCTTGCATAC